CCTCGTGAACAGCATCGAAAATTATTTTATTTATATAATATGTAATAACAAAGACTACTGAACTTGAGAATGCATAATGATTTCAAGCATACCTGAGTTTATCATTATACAGTTTTGAGTCACTTCTCTCTCCTACCAAATTCAATGACTTTCAAAAAAGGAAAAGCATACGCATCAACTGGGGTTCTGTTTTCTGTTAACATGTAGACTATGCATGTAAATACTGTCGCTATGGAATAAGCTGGAAATGAATGCAACTCAAGCAGAGGCAGACTTATTTAGACACAAGACTGGAGCGCAATGGGCTGTATCACTTACCCGCTGAAGGTCAGAAAGTACAAAGTTGGGACGTAGTTTTTGGAAAGGAGCTGCAACTGTGCAGTCTTAAAATCAACCTGGTATCAGTTCCCTCTACAGTCGTACGGAAGCGAAACTGCAAAAGAGCACCGTTTACAACTTCTCGATCATTTTAACAGAACTCACTCCCCTGTGTGATGTGCGATTTGTTTTCTGACTGCGATGTGTGATGTGACAGCGCTGTACACCAGTCACCTGTAGGCACTTGTGACAGCCGAAGCCACCAATCACAGCGCTCACAGAGCATTGTGGGAAATGTAGTTCAGCTTCATGTAAACGTTTAAGAATGAAGAGTCGATTTTTATAGATGCTATAGATTCTTCATATAGATTCTAACAGTTTTAAGTAGTTGCATATAGTTTAGACCTTGTCAAAAGGTATACACTTGTAGACAAATTTTGTATGAGCTTTTGTATTTTATATTACCTTCATATTAACTTTTATGTGCAGTTACATTTAGCTATTTTACAGTGTTAGGTCCGAGTCCACCTTGTCGAGTCCTAGTTTTTAATCAATTGAGTTTAAGTGGGAGACGTTTATTAAGGTCTTTTTATATTATTTTTTTGTTACTTTTTTATTTAATTTTATATTACACATGACATGGATTCGTCTGTACTCTGAAAAATTTCTGTCCAAAATATCCAAGTCCGAGTCCAAGTTCATTCACAATTGCAGTCCGAGTCCAAGTACCCCAACTCTGCAATATTTTATGGCAATTAGCATAACAAAATTAAATAATTATCCTTAGTTTAACTAGTTTAAGGTCAAATGCTTTTATTATAATCTTATTTCCAAAATGAAGGGATAATATCCAATCAATCGGTTACTATTGCAAAATAAATCATTGTGTAAATCAAATATATGTGACCTTGTACCACAAAACCAGTTATAAGGGTAAATTTTTGGAAATTGAGATTTATACATCATATTAAAGCCGAATAAATAAGCTTTCAATTGATGTATGAAAAAGTCAAAAAGAATGAGAAAAGTCATAAAAAATTAAGTCCTTAGTAATGCATATTACTAGACAAAAATTAAGTTTTTATATATTTACGGTAGGAAATTTACAAAATATCTTCATGGAACATGATATTTACTGCTTAAAAGAAAAATCAATAATTTTGACCCATGCAACGTATTGTTGGCTATTGCTACAAATATACCTGTGCGACTTAAGACTGGTTTTGTAGTCCAGGGTCACATATTATCTCAATAATTGCACAGATCTCTTGAACACTGATTGGTCAGTCACAGTATTCAGTGGTTAAGCATTCCTTTTATGCACTGCTGTTCTTCTTTCCAAAAAAGTATATAATCATACACGTGTATTTTTAATAAATAAGTTCAGTGGCATTACAACCAAAGACAATCTACATGATCTGAATTTAAAATAATAATAATAAAAAATCTATTGCAATTGCAGATTTTCAGTGGTTGGGTTCAGTTGTTGCTTCAGATTGGCCCACAGGGTGTCAGTATTGATCCTATTCTTTCCCATACAGGACAGAACCACAAAAAAACACACTGATTATGGTGTGCATTTTTTAATAAAGTGAAACATCAGTGCCTTCGTTTTCCATTCTAAAACAAAACGCAAGCTTCAAATGAAAAGAAACATAGAATTTACTTCACAAAAGCACAACTTCTGGATTTGATTGTAATAAGGAAATAAATGTTGACTTTGGATTTTATCTATAGATTTAATAACTTCTCTTGATCACAAACAATAACATTCTCTTAACCAAAGACACTTTAATATCTACAACACCTAGAAACGCCCTTGCCAATGCCGTCAATTAGACACGATTTAACTAGGCAAACATGCACAGTAGCAAAGCTGAACTCAGAATGGCCTCCACAGAAAGCACCGAATACATAAAATCTTAGCTTTTGTCCCTAAACCTAACACCAAGCTAAAGGTATTCAACATGCGTTACACTACACCTCTCTAGAGCTGACCAGCCTTAATAGATAATTTGTTTGTTTGTTTTTTTTTTCTTTTTGATAGATTGAATGGTCATCCAGTTTACCCATTTATAAATTTGCAGAGAGGCAGAATAAGAAATCTACAGTTAAGGTGAATCTTGGGAATGCTATTGAAGAAAAAAACTAAAACCAACAACTGACTATTAACATATGATTCAAGATTAGAGTCATGCAAACCCTACTATGCAAGTGTTATAACTCAATGCTGATTTTTCTAAATCATACTCAAGGGGCAAAAAATTATACCATGTACTGGGGTAGATGCCATACTTAATTTGAAAAGACTTTTGCTATAAAAACTGAGGGCGGCAAGCAGAGTCTGTTCAGAGGGTCACATTGTTGTGAATTAGGAATTTGATCATTCAGGAAAAGAGGGGGAAAAAAAAAATAGTTGGACAATGGCATCATGACATATTGAATTGACTTCTAACTTGTGTACTTCTATCGTGCAGCCACTTTGTTTGAATTTTTATCAAATTTAATATGGCAAGTACCCAGACTATTAAAGTCAATTGCCACATACATTGTCATGACACCCTGAGTTTGGACTACAGATCAGCACACTATAAAAAGCAGCACACTAAGTGCAACGAGTAAAATTCAGCAGAAAAAAAAAAAGACTGCCAAGCCAGGACTTTAGGGTTGGTTGAAACAGGCCTCAATTGTCTTCTGCAATGTTTTTGTAACTGAGAAGATTGGAGTTCAGTCTAATTATATGAGGATGTGGGGTACTGAGGGTGCCACCAGTCCATGAGGCGCACGCTGTGGACAGGGTCCAGCACCACCTGCACCCCTTGTTCACCCCTAAACTTCTTCCCTCGAATGACTGGTGAATCCTGGAAATCCAGGCGCACTCGGTGGTGCCTCATGTCTGTGCTCACATTAATGGTGAACTGAAAGACAAGGAGCGAATGATTCATTGGCATTTATGACATCAGCATGACTTGCATTTACACTGTAAGTAAAACCTTCAACAAAAAGAAATGTGGAAACTTCAGCTTGGTCTAGACCACTATCATTAGATGACTTCCACGTTCTAAAAAGAACACAATGCTGAAGTTTCTAAGGCTATAAATTTAGCACTACAAATTTCAAGTGACAGCCAGCACAAAGCAAAAATGTACTAAAATCTGAAATACACTACACAACTTTTGAAATCTGGACAGATTTTCAAACACTAGGCATCATACATTTGCTCACTTTTTAAACGGTTACAGAGGAAAAACTGGGTGTCATACACTAAACAACATAGCATCACATTCTGTTAGACTTTAAAGTTGTTCTGAAAAAATTCACACTCCTCGTCGAGAAATGAAAACATGTCGCAAAATCAGTTAAATATCAAACTTATTTGAAATCCTTCAACTGGAATCAAAAATTGAAGATTAAAAAAAAGAAATGAGAAGGTGAGCCTATGCCCATTATACAATGTGATTTGTGAAATCTCAGATTATCAGAAATCTGCAGACTCTAATTTTTGGCAACTACTGTCAACTCTTCCAGACTGAAAATCAGGGCAAAAGTCAAGTAGTGTATTCCAGCTTTAAAGTCCCCCTGTAGTCAAATACGATGCGGGAGAGGTGGGTCTGACTCCGGGCTACTTTTACACTGTTGCCACGGGTTATAATGCAAGTTAGCGGTTCTAAATTCACATTAAACCACAGCTTCATGGGTTTTTTGCTTTAATTTATTTTTGGTTTTGTGCTGGTATTGGAATATTTTGCATGCTAGTGATAGGAATCGATCCCTTGACGTGACTGGTTATTGGTTTGTGACGTAGCAAACCGAGGGCTGTTTCAAACCGTATTTCTGGGTCAGCCTTTGGGAAACTACAGTTTTAAGGAGAAAATACTCAGCAATGGTGTTGATTAATAGATTGGCACATGGTTTGTCTAAAGGCATATTAAAAACACCATATAGACAAATAAACAACATAAAAAACTTGATTTTCACTACAGGGGGACTTTAAAGACCTGATGATTAGAAATCCAGCAGCAGGATTACACGTTATCCTCCTGTAATTCAACAATGTAAAAATATTATGTGAAACGGATTCTCTCATCACTCACCAAAGTTAACGTCATGCCCATCACAACAGAAGTGAAAATGAAATTGAGGGTAGTGACCCGCAGCAGATAACAGTCCGAGTCTGGATTAGTGTGAACATCTTTATACTGCTTGGGCAGCTGAAGACTCAAACCACATCCGTTTTTGCCCTTGGTTGGCTGAAAAAGAAAATCCGACAGAATTAAAGCAATTAAATCTCATATTCTACTTTTATGACAATGTAGTGAACATACCAGTTTCACAAACTTGAAGTTGAACTCCCACATCAGCTCTGACCTACTTCCAGAAACTTTGTTGACCCAACACAACAAACACTGTGGGAACAAGAAAGGCATCAACACAAAAATCTTCACATTAAACATATTTAAATAGGAGCGTATGTCTACAAACCTTGGAATTGAGGAGTGTGGTAGGTGTAGATTCAGGGAGAGGAGGGCTTTTGGACACCCGCAAGCTAAAGGGCTCATATAAGTGAAAAAGCGAGCGAATAACACGTGCACGAAGACAACGCATCTTTGCAACAGAATCAGGTTGAAGGCGATCGGGGAGGTCTGCATCAAGATTATAGTGCCTGGGGAAAAAGGAAAAAAAAAAAGATCATTCAAAATAAAAATTAAAAAAGAAATCAAGAGGAATACTGTCATGCATAAATACCCTTATTTAACACAGGGATGTCCAGTGGAGTGCAATAGTGCCTGCCCACTGTTATAAAAAGCCCCACAATACATTTAATACCACGTTTTGGCTGCCTACCTTTTGTAGAGTCGTGTCCAAAATGCAGCTGTGCACGTGGCAGTCCAAGCATTCTTGCAGATCAAGGAGAATCTGCAGACGTCTTCTGGCCGAATGTATGCAGCAAGCAGAAGCCAAATATCAATGGGATACTCCTCTCCATCTATGCACTCACTGTTTTCTGGCATTCATGATGACAGGAGTTACTCAAAAGCTCAAGAAAAATAACAACATCAGAAAACATCAGAACTAGGGTTGGGAATCGAAAATCGATTCCGATTCCAGTATCGGATACTTAAGGTCAGGAATCGGATACTTGTTGTCAAATTAAAATTTCGATACGCCTATCGATTCCTAGGCACTTTTTTTTCTTCATCTGTGAGGACCGGACCTAGCGATCTGCCAGGACCTTGCTCGCTAATCTAAGCTTTCCAAAGTTTGGCTACATTTGCAACCAGAAGCCAAAAAACCTAAGTATAATATCTGTGATAGCTAAACATGTTGCAAGAGAGGTGTCTCACCACCAACATGACAAAGCACTTTAATTTAATAGATCAATCGAATAGAAGTTCGCGAACACGATTCAAACACCAACGTGATTCTGTTCCTAAATTACAATGCTTCATCCGTTTCATTCCTCAACCTTTGACGTGTGCGATCAATGTTGTGATCACTTGGTTCGTCCGTGCAGAGTACGATCACACCAGTGTGATTTGAACACTTAAATTTGTGTTCGTGCTGCCATTGATCTAAAGAGAGCAGCTGTCTGTCATGAATAAAACAGCTTTTCAGTCACATAGTATCATTATTTCTGTTACAAACATTCAAATCACAGAAGTACTGGGATAAAAGTTTATAGTTCAGATATAAACTCTGATGTGTACAATCAAAATAGAGTAAATCACCTTTTGAAAGTAATTTGACACTTCAAATGAAGATTTATCGATTACATTGTTACGCCAGTAGGTGGCGAAAAGAGTCTGTTAAAATGTATTTGTCTTTGAATCATACAAGAGATTCGTTCAAGAACGCTGATTCATCCAGTAATGAAACAAGTACATCTTGATTGAGTCACTGAATCATTTATTCATAAATTACATGATTTTGTTTAGTTGTCTATTTTTTATTGTCTAATTTATCCAGAATCATGCAGTTCTATTTTGCACACAAACAGCTCTTAAAGAGTCCAGTTTTTATGTAGCCTGTTGATTTTTGTTCATGGTATTCAGCTCCAATAAATGGTTTGCAAAAAAGAGACACAGGATAAAAATGTTTGATATCATTATTTAATCACATTGGAATTGAAACTGGGAATCGAAAAGCAGAATCGGAATTGATAAAATTCAAACGATACCCAACCCTAATCAGAACAGAGATTCCCAAACCTTTTAGTCAGCCAAAACCCTTTGACCTAAAATATTTACTTGAAGGACCCATTGAGATTAAGTTAACACTTCAATTTAACACATTTGCACATTCACTGATAATGGTCAAATGGCATGCTGGTAAACAAATAAAATTTACCCTTTTTTTTTTTTAGAAAATGTTTTGTTTGTATTTTAATTGAACCCCAGTTTGGGAAATCCTGCATTAGAAAACTTACTGGGCCAAATGCTCTGCAGTTACCTTTGCATCTTTTGTTTTTCTTTTTGCGGGACCCTTTGATTTCATCCCCTTCCTCTGAGTCCAGTTCATCACTGCTCTCACGGGCTGTATTACTCACACCAGCTGCAGAGGAGAGCACTTCCTGCACAGGACCCTGGGATGCCTCAAGCCCACAGAGTAATTTCACTGAAACAGAATAAAGATCAGAGTAATTTTTTTAATTATTATTTTAAAGTGTCAAATGTCTTAAAAGAAACTTATTCTCAACATACTGGTTAAAATCATCCTCTAAATCAGGGGTGCCCAAACTCGGTCCTGGAGGGCCGGTGTCCTGCAGAGTTTAGCTCCAACCCTAATCAAACACACCTGAACCAGCTAATCAAGGTCTTACTAGGCATACTAGAAATTTCCAGGCAGGTGTGTTGAGGCAAGTTGGAGCAAAACTCTACAGGACATCGGCCCTCCAGGACCGAGTTTGGACACCCCTGCTCTAAATAGACTGAACCAAGGCCTGTTCAGGCCTGCTTATGGAGATTTATGTTTAATCAAACACACCTGAATCAGCTAATTAAAGGTGTTTGGGGTCATTGTAAAAGTACAAGCAAGAGTTTGAGAGCTGAACTAAACTGAGGAGCTCCAGAAGCAGTCTAATCTGCAGTTTAATTCAGGGCTTCATATAATTTGACATGAAAAGTTACACTTATGACAAAAAGGCTTTTAACTCACAGTTATGATTCAATATGCTAGAATTATGACTTTTTATTTCATAATTATTTACCACATTATTTCTTTCGTTATTATGGGGCGGAAATGAGCTTTCATACATCATATTTATGATTTTACCTTCTTTTTCAATTGCATTAACAACAGCCTTTTTAACTCTTCCCGACTTTACGATGGCGGGATCGGCGTTGGCATAGTCAGCCACAGTTACTGTAAGAAAATATGAAGGAACACAAGAAATCAAGAGAATAGACTTTGGCTATTATCCGCAACACACATAATAACATAAGCCCGCCTCACTGTGTTGTTACCTGACTCCGAGCAAACATCCTCGGCTCTAAATTTCAGCCGTTTTCGGTTCCCTTTCTTGGGCATGACGACAGCGGGGGTCTATGGCCGTTTATCGAGGCTGTGTGCCCTGCCATCTTTCCAGCAGAGGTAACGAAAAAACGATAAAAATGAGGGTGAAATTAAAGAAAGCTCCTCCGGGATCTTCAGCCATCATGGAACTGACGAACAAGGTCGCGTACATTCTCGCGAGATCTCAGAAAGCACACGACTCACCAGACTGGACGCTAATTGGACGCAGAAATCATATGCGAGAAGAATTGTCCAATCAGACGGTGTATATTCATAACCTCAGGCTTCAGAGAAAAAAAAAATTGTTACGATAAACCATGACGTCATCTCAGCTGTTTCTTTTTTTAACGTTTAAAGTGTCTCGAAGTACCATAAATTGTGCAAATAAATATAATGGAGAATCTCTTTAAACAATGAAAAGACTACTGAACCTCGAGAAAAGTCATTTTGTGCATGAAGTTTGAATGGAATCCTTTTAGATTCCAGATTAGATTAGATTTTTTTTTTTATAACCATTTCTTACTATGTGTCAGTAAATTGTTGTTATTTTAGCATGTGTGTTTGGCTCAGTGTTATTTTTTAAGGATTACTGATAAACTAATGTAGTTTGATTTGTATTAGTTATCTATTTTAGCTTTAGTTACAGTTGTAGTAATGTGTCATTTTATTAGTTTTTTATTATGTCTATATAGCTTTTTATTAAGTTTTAGTTTTATTTAATTTGAGTTATTTCAGTACTTCAACATACAAAATGGAAATGAAATTATATATATATTGAATGTATTTATATATATGTACATGTATATGCATATGTGTGTGGCTGTACATACACATATGTAGTTGTTTGTTTTTGGTGTTTGGCTTAGTGTTATGTTAGAATCATTATTATACTCATACCTTTTGTTCTTTTAATATTTTGAATTGTTTTTAGCTTTATTATTATTTTTTTTTTTCATTTATATGTTTAGTTTTGAAATGTTGTTGTATGCATTTGTCATTTTTATTTCATTTCTTTTATTTTCTTAAATGTGTATGTATATAGTATTTATAGAGTTTTAGCTTTTAGTTTAAATTTTTCTTATTTGTAAGTCGCTTTGGATAAAAGCGTCTGCTAAATGACTAAAAGTAAAAGTAAGTAAGATTCTTTATTTCTTATAAAATTCATCAGATAAATTTCTTTATAAGGAATAGGCGGTTTTAAGCACCTTTGATCAAAAATAAAAAAAACTGTTTGTTTTACATAAAGGAATCAGAAACATTGGGAAACATTTTTTTCATTAAAAATATTTGTTTTATTTATTTTTCTCTTTTTTTCTGTTTTCTCAGAGTTGTTTTTTTGTCTCATTTATTAATTTACTTATTTTACGTTATATATTTCCTCTGGTCATGAAAATATTAGCTTCAGAGAACTTCCATCTACATAAAAGCAAATGTGACAATGTTTTTTATGTCTTTTATTAAAGTGAGTAAAACAATACTGAAAAATACAACAAAGTTGAATAACATTTAAGAATAATAGAAATATAAGATTTCCTAATATTGAGATTTTTTTGTGGGGTTTTCATTAAAAAGTATATATATATATATAGAGAGAGAGAGAGATATAGATATATACTCCAAGGGCCCGGCGAGGGAGAGGGGGCCCGGAACGCGATTTTACTGAGGGGGCAGAAATATGAGATTTTCTGCAAAAGTTCATGAGATTTCCTAATAATGAGATACATTTCGTTTTCATAAAAACTATATAGGCACTTCATGATATGTCCGTGGTTTATATGAACCTGCCTGCCGCCAGAGGGCGCTGCGCGTGACACCATTTCTCACACGGCGTCTCGTGCATGACAGTCATGTAGTCGCGTGGTGCTGATGTGAGGAACTCCGATTTTACGCTGTTTGAAGAGCTTTACAGAGCCACGCCGGGTGGATATGCTTTTCGCCGACGACGAGGGAGACGTTTAACCTTCACATCCACCAAAGCGTCGGCGCATTCATATTTTAAAACATGCGCGAATGTTTGTGGAGATAGCGGAATAGCTGTGTTGCAAGCGAGAATGAGCTCGTAGAGGGAGGAGCGCTTCGCTCGGCTCGCCGTGCAAGGAGATGATGATGATGATGGTGGTGGTGGTGGTGGCAGAGGGATCTGGAGGATGCGGCAGACGCGAATTTCACCGTTTTCTTAAAGGTTAATGGCAACTGGTGGATGTTAAAGCGAAGGGCGCCGAGGTTCAATCAGCTGAAATCGGAATATGCGTGTGGCGAGCGCTGTAATGAGCGTCCAGCGAAATGCATTGAGTTCCAAGTCAAACTAGGTGGATAATGTCAGAGCGGAAAAGGCCGACAATCATGGACCAGAGAGGTCAAGGTGTGTGAAGAATCTAGACAGACATGCAATTAGTGAAATTAGAGGATGCATATGCATTTTAAATTACATGGACATGTTTAATGTGCATATAAATGGCATTAAATATTGGTAGTGCACCTCAAACCTGAATAAAAAAAAAAATCAAAAGCAATTTCTAATTTGACTTAGACTTCATAGAACACCGAGCAATATGATGTGTGAAGTGATGCCAACCATAAATGAGGGGGACTCGGTGAGTTCCCAGAGAGGCTCTCAGAACGGCACGGATGCCGAGTCTAATTTTGAACAGCTGATGGTGAATATGTTAGATGAAAGAGATAAGCTGCTGGAGTCTTTACGGGAGACACAGGAGACCCTCATCCAGTCGCAGACCAAACTCCAGGATGTGCTTCACGAGAGAGATGTGCTTCAGAGACAGCTCAACTCCGCGCTACCGCAGGTAAACTCGCATACCTGACACAGGTACACGGGAAGTTGCATCATGACTTACTGTGGTAATCATAGTTTACGATAAAATGTCCTTTTTCCTGTAAAACCTTAGAAAAGAACTATTGAAACTATTAGAAACAGTGCTAGAATCTAATTTAATGCCCCTTTTAATAACAGCTTAAGTCGGACAGTAGATTCAATTCCCAAAGACTAACCGTGACTGGTATTTTGAAAGAAAAAAAAAGTTACTTTCAGCCAATTTATTTGTTCAAATACCCTTGAAAGACATGATATCGCATAAAAAGTGTTTTCTACGGTGGCCGAGAGAGCTCAACGCGCTGCAAATGAAACATGCAAATAGAAAAAACACCTGCAAATAGAAAAAACACCTGCAAATTAAGAAAACATCTTCATCAATTTGACAACACACACGCTGCAAATGCTCACAACACAACTAAATAAAGAAATTCGCTGCAAATACTCACAACTAGGGATGTTCATTTTTAACCGTTTAACAAGTTAACCAACCGTAAGAATTTTGACCGATTAATACAATCAGTTAAACGGTTTAAAAAATGATTTAATTATTTATTTTTTCAGTAATTTAACAAAATATTTAAAAAGGTTTGCTGCATGGTTAAAATATGCTACGCATATAAAATAAAAAATGTTTTTTAGGGGGGAGAAACATAAGTCGCGTATAAGTCGCATTTTATTATTTCATTCAGTAGGTGAGTTTGATCAGGGTTGGAGCTAAACTCTGCAGCGCATTGGCCCTCCAGGGCAAGATTTGAGGAACCCTGAGTTAAACGGTTTAAAAAGTCATTTAATTATTTATTTTTTCAGTAATTTAACAAAATATTTAAAAAGGTTTGCTGCATGGTTAAAATATGCTACGCATATAAAATAAAAAATGTTTTTTAGGGGGGAGAAACATAAGTCGCGTATAAGTCGCATTTTATTATTTCATTCAGAAATAGCCCTAATGCCGACGCGAAATGTTTACTCACATTATAATAAACACTGTAAACATAGCTAGGCGATTTTAGTTCCCCTCACTCCACAAAAAATCCGCTGCCCAAATGTTCACGCAAAGAAAGAAGGCGTAACTTTTATTCTCGCTGTAGTATTGTTCTTGCCACCGCCGCTATGTCGTGAAGGCGCTGTGTGTTTCTTTGTGAAAGATAAACTAC